CGAAAAGCTGAAAAAGGTCGAGGAGGCGCCCGCCGCCCGCTCGCGAGGGATTTCGCTCCCCCCGTTGAGCGAGGAGGCGTTGGCGATGCCGCGGAAGCCGCGGTTGAAACGCCGCCTCGGGCCCGGAATTTCGCTGCCGCCGTTGCGATCCCCTTCGAAAGAACCGCCGGAGACCCCTCGAACGATTCACATCGAGGAGGTCGAGCAGAAACGGCTGCAGTGCGCGAGTAAATTTCTGGATTTGCAATGGCGACTCCCCTTCGTGGCGAAGGGCAAGGCGGAAGGTCGGGAGCTCATCAATCGCCTGATGGTGCGGATGCGGTTGGAGCGGACGACGGAGGTGGAGTTCTACGTGAAAGACGTCGAGATCCTTCGGTATTTCTTCGACGGCGTCGATGTTGGCGTTTTCGGGTTGCTCCATCGCGTGGATTTCGTCGATTTCGTGATGCTGACGTTAGGGGAGGATCTCGGGATGAGCTGTCGGGATGTCGAACGGCTAACCTTCCCCGACGCCGGCCGCAGCTTCCCTCGGTTGATTAATTTCGCCGAGTTCTCCCGATTTTACCTCGCGCTCGCGGCGAAAGAGCTCGCGAAGCATGGTGGGAATTTCACCCCGCGCAAACCCAAGTTAAAACGCCCGTCTAAGCGAGAATCCGCCGTCGGCGGGGGGGAGAAACCCCCCTCAACGACAACCCGAGCGGCCTCCTTGTCTCGCCTGTCAAGCCGGCCGCCGTTGCCCATGACGACGTCTTTGCATTTCTCGCAGCGAAGGAACGTTTGGTTCGAGCCCAGCGCCGCCGCCCGGCAATTCTCCCGGCGGGCTTTTTCCCGCCAGCCCCGCCTCACCCCGATCAAAAGCGAACGCGAAGGAGGAGGGGAGGGCACGCAAGGGTTGCCGCGGTCGAGCTCCGCGCCGAATATCGGCGATCCCGCGCCTTCCCCGCCGTTCGCGCGCGAGGAGGCGACGCCGCTCCTGCCCCCTCCTCGTGGGGGGGTGCCTCTGCGGTTGGAGCGCATCCGCTCGAGCGCGGGGGTGTGTTTGCAGCCCCGCGAACGAGCCGAGAGCCGGGAGATGTCCAAACCTTATAAGTTTCACTGGACTACGTAATTTTTTTATCTATCTATCTATCTATATATATATATATATGTATGTATTTATTTATATTATTTTGATTTTGATCACGAACCGGGGCGACCACACAAACGCAACTACGACCGGTCGAAGAGCCCACATCGTGCTCTCAACGAAAACCCCGTCTTGACTTTATTTTAACTTTAGTATGCTTATTGAGTTTTCTTTTTTATATACAAGTCCCTGAAAATGAAAAGAAGGGGGGCAAATATGTGATCGATAAATTAATGATCGGAAATGAGAATAGGATAAAGAATATTAGGTATAGATAATAGGAGCATCCATCCATATATATAGAGAGAGAGAGAGAGATATTCTTTATATCTGTTGATTAATATAAATAGATTATTTTAAGCGGATGTGATGCATTAAACCGTAGCCATAAAAATGAAAATTCAATCACGTAGTGGAGCGTTCCTATGACGTCATCCTATTCATGAAATGCTCGAGCAGATCTAAAATGAAGCCAACTCCTTCTTTTCCTTCTTCCTCTTTTTGCCGCTTCCTTTTTAGTTGTACACATGCACACTTGACTTGGTAACCCTTTCTCCGACTTCCCCTCCGCGCGAGGGGTGAATAAAGCACCTTTGAAACGAGTGATCCATGCACGCGAACCTCAATCTCGAAGAACCGCCATACATCACAATCCCTATCGTATGATGGTACTATTGGTATCGTTTTTCACGTTCGGTAGAAGTGAAAACTCAACGAAGAAAGCGGCGTATGCCTGGCAAAATCCTGTGTGGTGGGGGTGGGGAGTGAACCCTTGGCAACTTCTTGAAGAGGCTACCAAGGATATCAGCAAAGGGATATCATGGCAAGAGACCCTCTCCGCGGCTGCAAAACAAAAAAAAAGGTGAAATTCGGTGAAGCTACGCACGTTGAGGGGATCACTTGGTCGTGATAGCGGGTGGAGGCGGCGCGCTCGCAAGTCCGCGTTACGCGCATCATCCTAGAACCGTAAAGAAGGAGGAGGAGGAACGAACACGACGATGCTAAGCACACAGAGAAAAAAAAATACGGCACGTGAAGAATCCGTACAGGACTTTCCTCTCGATGAGTGGCTGCGGTGGTTCTCTTTCTCTGCGAAAAGAATTAAATGGAGTGGGTTAAATCTCTTAATCATTGGAAAATGATCCACATGTTACTTTAGATGTTTCGAACGATACCCTCAAATATTGCCTTCTTTCCGCGGTTGAGTTGAACCCAACCGATTCACCTATTCCAAGTCGTCAAGATCGTTTTCTAAGGGAAATACCCCACCTCCGAGGTGGTTTGCATGTTTTCCTGCCTTCGCTCCATCCGCCACGAGGCGCGAAGTCGCGAGGCGGCGGCCAAAGCGTCGTCGAGTTCGACGCCCTCCGGCACCTTCGCCCTCTTCTCCGCCGCGGATTCCCGCCTGCACGCGAGCCCCGACGGGGCGATGAAACCCTCCAAACCGGGCGAAATCGAAGCGGGGATCGCGGCCGCGCTGCACGGGCTCGATCGCGCCGCGGAGGCGATCGAGCGGATTCCCTCCCAGGCGGATCCGACCCTCCCGATGCTCCTCCCGCATCTCTGCGCGGCGGCGTGGATCGCGCGCGCGAGGCTGGCGGGGAACCCGAAACGCGACACCGAAGCGGCAGAAAAAGCGGCCTCGCTTCGACGAAAACGCGAGGCCGCGCATCTCGTCGAGCTCGCGCGGCAGCGGATGCCGTCGAGGC